TGGCAATATCCATAGTACACTGAGAAATGTGAATTGTGTATCACGATAATAATATTAATCACAATAACGATAACATGTTGTCATATTGCCCACCTTTAGCCTGAGTCTTACTCTTTTGGGTGGTAGCTCTGGTTAAAGAGGCTGAAAACCAGTAGTTTAAAATTTAGCAGCAAGCAGAGAAATACATTTGAAAATGTTTTATTATTCAAACAGAAGGAAATTGGCAAGTTACTTATTGAATGAATACCAGAGATGTCAGCTAAAACTACAGCTAAGCAGTGCAGCACTGGGTGCCTATGAGGACTCGTCTTCTACATCCTCAGTGGACAGTGAGCCAACATTTTAGCTTGTTAGAGAAATCTTTCCATTGTTTTTGGATCTAGCTAACATCAGATAGAGAAGTTAGCCTCTTTAGCTGTAGAGCTGTGTTGTCTGTCTTCTCAGTCGTGTCCTTAGCAGTGCGCTCACTTTCAGGCCTGCATGTTTCTGAGCGTCACAGTGTCGTATGTGTATTTACTCACACGTATGAGCAAAACCATAACATTTTACAGTCCTGTTAAAACATGAGTGGCATTTCATTCAGTTATTTGTCTATTTTTTCCATCTTCTCTGTGATAAAACAGAACAGAAGTAACCCAGGTAGTGATTTCAGTATTTCTCATTTTCTTTTTCTTTCTCTCTCTCTCTCTCTCTCTCTCTCTCTCTCTCTCCCCCTCTCCCCCCCCCCAGTTAATGTGATCTCTCTGTGTTATTATGAGTGTCAGCCGAAATGAAAGATACAGGGTGTGTCTGAAGCAGAGGTGGAGTGAGGGTGGGAACAGTCATCTCTCATTAGAGCTTTTGTAAGTGCAGGAAGAGGGGTGTGTGTGTGTGTGTTTGTGTGTGTGTTTGTGTGTGTGTGTGTGTGTGTGTGTGTTTGTGTGTGTGTGTGTGTGTGTGTTTGTGTGTGTGTGAGTGTGGTTCCTCGTGGGAGTTTAAAAGCAGGAATTAGCGAGAAGGTAATCAGCCAACAGCAGCAGAAGAGATGAGAGAGTGATGAACTCGCCCTCGTCTAAATTTTGGATCATTCTGGGGCAGATTACTTACTAACAGGCCATATCCTACTTTTGTATTGTCTTTTTTCTCAGAGATCTGAAAACCATATTTGTGTGGGTTTTTTTTGTACCAAAAACATCATTCATATATTATTATGCCTTAAAGACTGGTGCATGTAAGTGACATCTGTTCTGATTGGCTGCTCTGTTTTTATTGGTTTTCTATGATAGAGGCCCTTTAAATCAAACTCTGATAAAGCACAAATCGGTACAGTCAGAGACATTACTACATTCATGATAGCGTACACGAGAAGAACACTAGCTACATTGCCATATAACATAAACTAGCTGAACAGCAGTAAAATACATTAGCCATCATGAAAATACAACATATTATTGACAGTACTTGTCAAAAGTGGGGCCCAACTGATATATCATTTCTTAAATTTAGTGACCCACATTTTCATCAGTAAAGGCCAATGACGTACAGAAAGACCTGATAATTCGCAGCTTTTTTGCCGTAGCATTGTCTGGATTCAGACTTGTAATCTTCCAGTAATGGTAAAACCTTAGACTAGGGGTCGGCAGCACCCCTCTTGTGCAGCCCTGTTGCGGCTCCACAGCAGAATTAGATTTGTAGGTAAAAATAAAATAATCCTCCTTTACAGTAAAATAAAGCTCTGCTGATCGTTCAAAACAGTTTAACAATAAATGGTCCTAAACGCTGGAGTTACTGTAGCCTCTGCTGATTTAAACTTTAACCCTGAAGGTTGGCGTGCAGACTGTTGGTCACCATAGCAATGCAGACAACAGTCTCACCTAGCTAGTAGCCAACGAAGCGGCAAAGAGAGAGATTTAGGATGAACATCGATAATTTGGAGACAGTCAGACTTATTTACATTTATAATCACTCCAGCTGGTTTACTGATATGTTTAATCTGCAACGAGAAACTGTCAAACACTAAAAAGTCGCAAAGTCATCTTCTTGTTCGCCAGGTGCTTGTTCGAATTGTCCTGTTCCACCTTAAATAATGCAGCAGTTACATTGTGGCACCTAAGGCACTATTTAAGGTGGAACGGGAAAATTCGAACAAGAAGCTGGGGAATGAGAAGACTTCAGCTAAAAGAAAAATATTGAGAGACATTTTACAAGACGCTATTCCACTTTTGTGGAAAAGTTTCCTGCTGGAGATGTGAGAAAAGCGGCTGTAGCTGATCTAAAGCTTAAAGCAGAGCAAAGTAAGTCTGCGTTTTTGTTATATTTTCAGCCTATACTAGTACTTTAGCACATACTGAGACAATTTACAGCCAAGATGGTAAAATGGACATAAAATGTGGCTCCCAATGTGGTTTGATTTTTGTTGAACATTTGAGTTGCCGCCCCCTGCCTTAGACAGTTATGAAACTGGGCAGGTCAACATAAGTTCTGAGTTTATCTAAGGGAGGTCAGCACCACCACTAGTGCTACAATATTAATATTATTTAAGACTGTGAGTGCCTGTTGTTTAATTGAGAACTGACAGTCAGTTTAGCCCAGTTTAACCAAAAACAACTGGGGTATAAAATTAAAATCCAAAATATGAATATAAAATTGTATTGATGAATTATATTGGACATCTGAATGGGCCACAAATGTTTCATATCCGTCAGGCCCTATTCAAAAGTGAGCAATATCTACACATACAGAAGCTAAAAGATGCGAAAAGTCTATATGCTGGATAAAATGATTAATCGTGAGGGTGTTTTTGAGTAATATATGCATAAAAATGCTATTGGTGCAAAATGAGGATTATTCAATAAAAATGTCCCACAGCTCTTCTCCTATTGAGAAATCCTGCATTGTGAAATGTACTGGTTCTTGTGGTGAGGGTGTGAAATCTCAGCATGTTTCTGATGTCCACCTTGGACAAACATTCTTTCCGGTTTTGTCCAGATTGATCCGATTGCTCTGTTTTGAGTCTCAGCAGAGGAAGTCTGTGAACATTAGCTCACCTTCTCCAGGGACGTAACCTTTCTTTAAATAATGAACCCACCAGCTCACTTCAGCGGAGCTTGGGAAAACTCCACGCCAGTGAGCTTTTATAGTGTGGAGGATATTTTCCTCCCCTTCCTTCCTTCCTTTATTTCTTTCTTGACAATACCACTTACAATTTCACTGTATTTCTCTGTACATAGAAAAGATATGACAAATCAAACAAAACTCTTATAACAGAAGCCGATGGGCAGCTGTGGGATTCTGTCAGTTTATGAGAGATGTGTTTTTGTAGAACAGTTAAATTCTTCAGTCAGACATTTTTGTAAATTAAGTTGTAAGTTTGTATAATTCGTTCTGTCAGAGATGGAACTGTTTTTCACAGCAAAGAACTTGATACCAGCATAATGTGGGTGGAGTTTTCACCGGCCTGATCGCCATGGATACCAGAAAATACTGGGGAAAGTTAAAGTAACTGGAATTGCTTTTTTGTGTTGATCCTGTGTTTGAAAGTTGGATTAAACTTCATTAAAACTGATCTGGCTCTGTTTGAACAGCAGTTCAAGGCGAAGAGCAGAACAAGAGTCTTTTTAGCCATCATCATCAAAATAAAGACAACTTTTTTTGTGAACAGATGAGTGATGGATCTTAAGCCACTCAAAACAGGTTTATACACTCTCAGAAAAAAGGTAGTAAACTGTCACTGGGGCAGTCCCCCTCCTGTCACTGGGGTGGGACCCTCAAGGGTACATCTCAGCACCTTTAGTCAGGGAACATAACTGTACCATAATCCACTGAAATGATATGTTCTAAGCTGTACTGACTCCACACACCCCGTCTCGTCTCCAGGCTTTTTATTTTATTGTCCTGTTTTAAAACATTCGGATATGAAAAGGTACAAATACAGTCTTTTCACCTGGGAAAAACTTATTTAAGGATTGGACCTTAAACCCACTGCTGTACCTTTGAGGGAACATTTACAGTATTTGTACCTTGATAAACGAAAATTGTACCTGCACAGAACCTTTATTTCTGATAGTGTAGAGCATGTGCTAACGGCCGGTGCTACCATAGCTCATATGTATGGGTGGCAATCCACATAGAACTGTAGTTAAGATATTTTGATAGCCTAAATCACCTCATCAGTTGGTATAATACACTCAAAGTAAGGCTGAATGAAAAACGTTACCATTAAAAATGCAATAAAAACGTTTACTGTGCCACACTAATGTTGTGAGATGCACAGTTGGGGCACTCAGTGTGTAGGACGAATTGTCTGAATAATTTTCGGACAGCTGGCTAGCCAGAACGCTCTTGTTTATTTTCAGTAATAAACACAACTGAGTTAGAACTCTAGAGAAGTACTGAACATGCTTGGACCGAACTTGCAGTTAAAGCTCAGAGTCATCTGGGATTGCGTGAGTCTCTGAAACTGTGCCAAATCCTCATTGGATTCCAGTGTGCAGAGCTGGAAGATATATACTACAGGGGAGAGGCTAGTATTTCACTTAATGGATGTTTGTTTCCCACACAGAAGTGCCGTGTGTTCATAAAAGCAGTAAATGTGTCAGTTATTCGAACAGCTGTTCCTTTTCCTAATATCTTAAAGATGGAGTATTATCGAATGTTTGTTGCACCCCTATTCATAGCTATACATAGTGTAGTAATGTTAGTGTTGTATGCTGGAGGTTGGGGTTCAAGTCCCTGTTTGGGCAGTAAAGCTGGTGCTTTTGGCTGTGCTACTCTGTTAATACTGTGTTTTAATACTTTTTTTGCTCAGGAATGTGAGAAGACTCTCTTAATAAGAGTGTTTGCAGAACGCTGTTAATGAAATAAATTCAAGTTCATGTTGCCCCTTTTGTCCCTTGAAGCCCTGCCCCCCCCCAAAAAAATGCCACCGCATGGGCATATAGGGTTGAAAAATGCTGGAATTTTCTTTTAATTAATATTCTATCTTCTCTCTCTCTCTCTCTCTCTCTCTCTCTCTCTCTCAGGACTCTGAGTTTGTATGTTTGGAGTTTGATGAGCTGAAGGTAAATCAGGTGCTAAAGAAGATGGCAGAGATTCAAGAGAGCATCGACAGCATTGTACACCATAGCTAGAGTGTGTGTGTGTGTGTGTGTGTGTGTGAGATCAATAACATAATAATCTTTGTATTTTTTTGTGAATGCTGTACTCGATACTGTTTTGTCTTAAGTGTCAGTGAATTTAGATGCATTTTTAATCATATGCACCATCATGTATCGCCATAATGTCCAATTAAATCTGGATTTTTCTACCTATTATTGTATATATTTTTTTATTCATGTTTTTTTTTCAAGTGTGTTTCCATTAATTTTATCTATTACTGGTGAGTTTAGGCTGATCTCTGTATTCAAAGCAGTACAGAGTATCTGTGATTAAACTGGTGAAGTCTAATGTAATAGCTGAGGTTTTTATTGACTCAGTACAGGCAACAGTAATAATAGAGCACAGTGCAGAAGCGAACAGACATAAATCCATAAACAACTTATACGACTGGAACTCTCTGACCCTGACTTAGACCAGGCGTGTCACACTGGGGACCTTCCAGGCCAAAATGCTGTGGAGATCAGCGTTTACCCTCATCTAATGTTCTGAATTCAGTTCATGAAGGCCTGGCTAATTAGCTGATGAGCTGAATCAGGTGTGTTTAATGAGGCATCGTGCTGAAGTCTGCAATGTTTTGGCCCGCGAGGACTGGAGCCTGACACGTGTGCTTTAGGCGGTGATGGAGCTCCATATAATATCTTTGGTATGAGTTGGAACAGGGTTTGTGTTCCACAACTAATCATTCAGCATCAGAAGCTGTCCTCACTAATGCTCTCGTGGCTGAATGCAATCAAATCCTCACAGCAATGAAAAGCTTTCCCAGTGGAGGAGAGGCAACTCCCTATTAATGTTGATTTCAAAGTGAACTTTGTCATTCAGACTACACAACAAGTGGCGCACAGCTGAACGAGATTGCGTTTCTCCAATTCCGATGTGCAAAAAATACACATAAATATAAAGGCAACTCCACAGACATACTAGACATCATAGACAGACATAAAACATACAAAGAGAGAGATGAAAAATAATAACTCAGGGTTGATTACAGGGTGTGTACCTGTTGTTTAGCGTATTTACAATTAAGTGCATAAAACATTTTACATTTTATATTCTGCCTGTGAAAATGATAACACGCCCCAGCTTCACTAAATTACAAAACGCAGTGGTAGAGTTGCTGGTATGTTGTTCTGATATCCCTACTTGTTGCTTTAAGCTGAGAACAAAGGGTACAGATGTATGACCTTATAACGCTGCTGCTGGAACAAACACTTGTATCTCTATTTTTGTTGTTTTTCAGTTCTTGGCATAATTTCAAAGTGCCTGTTACCCTTTACATTGTTTGCAAATTTCATGATGAATGGAGCAAAAGAAATGGCCTAGAATTACTCTGAAAAACCTGTAGTTCCATTGACGTGCATTAAAAGTGAAGTGTGTTTTTGCCTTCTCCTGTAAAGTTACCATTTTGGAGATACGAGGTTTTTTTTTCCGGCAACAGCGATATAATTGTTTTAGCCTGATTTTAGAACAAAAGCCTCTGTGAGTCTCGGGATGTTTTAAAAGAAGTGTGTGCTCTGTTGAAGGTTTACAGATTACTCATCAATCATTTGTTCGCTCTCTGGCAGCTGTTCTTCCCAGAAAGATCTAATCGTTCTTTAAACATTTAACACAAAGTCACACCTGCTGGCTGGTTTGGCTACGTGAGGCGACTCTGAGGAAATCCAATCACACGTTCACACCTTGTTAATGGTATGAGTGTTTGGGTTGAGATCAAGTGACACCCTTAGGATCGGACTGGAGATGTGAGTGTATTTTGCTGTGCGCTGGAGCTGGAACCAGGCGGTTAATTTTGCTGTAAAAATGTCTCCTTTTATTTCAGGGTGCACGTTTTTATTTAGGGCTGTGTTTTAGCTGATTTTAATTTTCCATCTGGGTGAATCAGCTGTGATTAAATGTGAGTTTGCAGGATGATAATGCATAGTTTTAATTCTCCAACTGTTCTCTTACAGTGAGAAACAGAGTCTGGATGGATACAGTATATTAATCTATTATCCCACTGTTTTTATATTATTTAATAAAGTCTTTTAAAACAATTTTTAATTTATAATTTTCCAGTAAAGCATTTTGGAATCTTTGAAAGGTTATGTATGGCTTGTTATTACTCATTTAAGTCCACTTTTACTGAATATAATCAGCATATTCCTGAATTTCTAGTATACAGTGCCCTCCACAAATATTGGCACCTCTGGTAAACATAAGCAAAACAGGCTGTAAACATTATTTACTGCTTATTCTCTTGATATTTCATTCAAAATGTTAACAAAAATCTAACCCTTATGTGGTACAATGATTAAAAAATAATAATAACATCATGAAATAAATATTTTTCTCAAATATGTGTGCGCCACAATTGTTGGCACCCTTCTTTTACTACTTTGTGCAGCCTCCCTTTGCAAAGATAATAGCTCTGAGTGTTCTCCTATAATGATTAATGAGACTGGAGAACACATGGCCAAAGATCTGAGACCGTGCCTCCCTACAGAACCTCTCCAGATCCTTCGGATTCCCAGATCCACACTGTGGACTCTCCTCTTCAGCTCGTCCCACAGGTTTTCTACAGGATTTAGAGATGATTTGTGTTGTTTTTCAGGCTTGTTTTGGATAATTGCCCTGTTGGAAGATCCAAACTACAGCCCAGTATAAGCTTCCTGGCTAAAACAGACAGGTTTTGATTTTATTTCTGCTGGTAGTTGATGGAGTCTGTGATGCCATGTATCTGAATAAATTGTCCAGGGCTTTTGGAAGAAAAACAGCCCCCCAACATCACAGATCTACCACCATACTTCACAGTGGGGATGAGGTACTTTTCTGCATGGCTATATTTGTGCTCACGCCAAACTCACCTCTGGTGTTTGTTACCAAAAAGGTCTATTTTGGTCTCATCTGACCACCAGAACACGGTCCCACTGAAAGTTCCAGTAACATTTGGCAAACTCAACATAATCGTGGCCCAGTGGGCCAGACTCTTTTAATAAACCTTCAAATATTACATGTGAATTCTTGATATATTTCGGCTACATTAGATACAGATAATTGTTAAGTCTCTTTAAATGTCCACAAGCTGTAAATCTTTAAAACCTACCTGTGTCCTTGATCTCGACGCCTGACATCTTTTCTGCTGCAAGTTCACTAATTCTTGGGATCAGTTTCTGAGCTGCTGAGTGTTTATAGTGTTTATAGTGTTTATGTTGGTTGAACTGAAGCTGAAACGCAGCTAGTGTGTTTGGTGATACGACGTGTGGAAATGGGTAGAAAACTACTGTCCCATAGATTAATGTTGGGAGGGGTGCCAGTGCAAATTACACTGCAGTGCATGCTGGGGATTGTAGTGCAGCTTATTGTGAAACAGGCTTATTTTAATAGAAAATCAAAATAATTTCAGGGTGGGTGTTTCTGATAAAGTGGCCAGTGAGTAGAAGTACAAGGTGGGTGTTTCTAATAAAAATGGCCAGTTAGTGTAAGTACAAGGTGGGTGTTTCTAATAAAGTGGCCAGTTAGTAGAAGTACAAGGTGGGTGTTTCTAATAAAGTGACCAGTTAGTGTAAGTACAAGGTGGGTGTTTCTGATATAGTGGCCATTGAGTGGAGTACAAGGTGGGTGTTTCTGATAAAGTGGCCAGTGAGTAGAAGTACAAGGTGGGTGTTTCTAATAAAGTGGCCAGTGAGTAGAAGTACAAGGTGGGTGTTTCTAATACAGTGGCCAGTGCGTGCATAATATATGTCTTTAATTATGTCCAAGCCTTCAACAGTCCCGCCTTTGTGTGAGTGCGCGTGTGTGTGGTGCACATTTGTGTGTGTGTGTGTGTGTGTGTTCTTGCCTAATTCTACAATGCAAAGCAACAATTCAAACACAGTGCACATTTCCATGCACCACCACAGGATCTCACCTGCTAAGGCTGCACACAGCCTGAGGCCATATAGGCACCTGAACAGCTGTAATAGGCTTGTCTAAGTGTCCTCCCTTTTTAACGTTTTTGACATACTTTGAAAATACCTGTTCCCTTTTACATTGTATGTAAATTTCATGATGAATGGACTAAAACAAATGACCCAAAATGACTTGGGGGAAAAAGTCTGGTTCCATTGAGTTACATTAAAAGTAAAGTAGGTCTCCTCCTTCTCCTGTAAAGTTACAATTTTGGAGGTTTTCTTCCGACAACAGTGATGTTACTTTTAAAGAGCCAGTTTTCTTGTATTTTGCTTTGTTCCTCATAAGGTTCACCTGTCATATTTATGAGGTTTTATGTACCAAGAAATATGTACCATTACTAATTGATGCACAACCTCCCTTAGAATTAAACAGGCTGGTTTTGTTACTGTTTCTTTAAAACTGATACACTGATATAAATGACCTCTGTTTGGATGGGCTGCTCAGTTTTGTGCCACAAAAAAGCAATTTGGTTTAAAATACTTCAGTGTTAATGGGTGGGGCTGAACTACAGATGGAAGAATGAGCAGATGTATGTAAATGTGTTGGTTTTCATGACATCACAAAACAATGCATTTAAAATGGATTGTTTTTTGCTGTTTATTTTCTATATGTGGACCATTCTGACTGGGCAGTGAATGGTATGTTTTGAAGCAATGGTTATAGCCTAGATCAAACTCTTTGATTTAAAGAAAGTAAGAGAAATTCATTTCCCCTTTATTGGCCCTTTCAACACTATGAGAAAGACCACGCTGCTGCTGCAGGAAGGGCACTTCTGTTGCAGAAAGCTTTTTGTGATTCCATGTGTTTAATGGCTGTGAGACTCAGAGGTGAAGCTTTGTCTGGTAACAGTGAATAGCTGATAGGTGGCTATTAATAATGCAGTAGTGTGACTGGCTTTTGTGTGGATCCAAACAATGCTGATGAGCCCTGCAGCTAAAACCTGCTCAGTATGTGTTTGTGTATGTGGCCACATGCATGTTGTTTATCTGCTCTCTCCCATCAGCCGTGATGACGACTCCCAAGGGTCTGTCTCTCATATGCTGAGTTACAGGTTTATTAGGTACATCCCACCTCATAACTACGCTGGCTATTTTTCCATTTGATCAAAAACGCCTGACACTTTGTACACTCTCAAAAAAAGATGGTTCTTCAAAGGTTCTTTGGTAAAGGCAGTGGTTCTATATAGAACCATGAACACTCAAAGATCCATCTGCATGCTTTAAGG